AGCTTTGGTGGGCACCTGGCATCCAGCCAGGGTCAACCCACTACACCAAAAGACTAATTTAATCATGAGTCTTGTGATTCTTCTTGCAAGATTAATTGAAATCGTCCATAAATACAAAGATTGCAGACTAATCATTCTCACGTTCTGAAGGTCTCCATAATCCACTACTGGCTCTTGATGGAAGTCTCCAAAGAGTCAGGGGAGGGAAACTGGTCTTGGATAAATAGATTTCATCTTCTGATATTCTTGATAATGAAGTATTGAACATTCTGTTTAGAGATGGGCAACAAAGTGCTGGCAGAAACAGGAATGTGTTGAAAAAAGACTGTTCATTAAATTGGAAAACATCTCTGGTTGAGTTCTTTCTCCTTCAAAATTTCCCTTACAATCTATGAGGACTGTGCCTGGAGCCGTTGTTCATAGCCAGTAGACTGCAGACCCCAAACACTGAAGCTGCTTAAACTAGATACTCCCTAATCATAAAGGCAGGTGGTAACACACACACACCCCCCAGGTTCATCAGAAGGCATTTTCTGTGGCTTCCTTAGGAACCAAATCCTTCTGCAGCTCCTGGTCAGAGGGTTCCAAGGCTGACCGCTTTAAGATCTCATAGGCTCCACCAGCTCAACATTTTCATCAGTTTTAGTACGTTTGTAAATTCTGTGGAACTGCAGAACACTGCTGGTAGCTGAATTTGCCTCCTCCAACTGTAGGCCATTTTTCAGATGCCTAGACCTGAGCTAGTCACCCAGACTTTACAATCAATGGAAAGAAACATGCTTTAATAACATGTTATTCTCCCATTATAATGTACATTTCTAATCTATAGTTTGATTTACCTGACGTGTAAGTACTTATTTCTTCCCACTAATTATTAAAAAAGCCTGACATATCTAAGATGTTAGATGCCTAAAAATAGGGAAATGTAACTAATATGCTATGCCTCAATGTTTCTGAAAGAAAGACTTGTGAAATTTCCAGTTTGTGTGCAATATGTGAAGAATTGGCTCTTGCTTCAAATTGGAATGGAAACAGATTTCTGAATACCCTAATTATTCACAAGGCAGGAATGACACATTTGCATCAAGTGAGAACTGGCTCTGGAAAAAATCCATCATGAGAATTCTGGAAGTTTAATTTTTCCTACATGTTGGAAGGCCATGTATCTAAACACAACCATTTTATGCCTTTTAGCAGCAATAGCTAAATTAGTGTAAGTTCAGAAAAACTGCTTGAAAAATAGGAATACCATTTAACAAGAAACTATAATTAGCCTCTCTAAAGACAATTGAAAATTGATTTAACTCACTCTGTATATACACTTAGAACAAGAAAAATAATGCATACATGGAAGCTTTTATTTTATCACAAGAAGACATAACAAGAGTCAAAGAGAAGACATCGGGTAAATCCAGATGAGAAATCAGACCCACATTCTTACAGATGTAGTGATACACCATTGATAGAAACTGTCAAAGACAGCAGAGGTAACTTCTCTTTGTGCCTCCATCTCAGGACTTGAAGATTTCTACTTGTTATATAGCCAAGAATAAGCTGTGTTTTGATTAAATATAAATACTCTATCTCAGCAGAAGGGTGAAGTGAAATGGCATAAGCCAGCAAAATATTCAGACTATACATGATATAGAACAGATGCACACTGCAACGTAATGCTCAACAGAAAAACTCACAATACCCAAAATCTCTTCTATTCTTCAAGCCTATAAATCTGCGATGTACTGGTTTCACTTTGTTCTTCTATATTGTCTGCTATCTGATTACCTTACTTGACTAACCTGCTCCAACTTGGTAAAGAGAGCATGTGTCGTGGTTTAAACCCAGTCAGGTAACTCGTTCACTCACTTCCCCCCCTTTCTTGCCCTCCCCCTGCTCTCGGAGGGACGGAGAGGAGAATCGAAAAGAATGCAACTCCCACGGGTTGAGACAAAAACAGTCCAGCAACAAATCACCACCGCTACTATCAGCTACAACAATGATAAGGGAAAATAACAAGGGAAGAGAATACGATACCACCGGCCAAGAGAAACGAGCTCCACCCGGAAACCCCTGTCCTTCCGGGTCACTCCCAGTTACATCCTGGGCATGACGTGCTGTGGTATGGAATACCTCTTTGGTCAGTTTGGGTCAGGTGTCCTGTCTCTGGTTCCTCCTGGCTTCCCCTCCTCCCTGGCAGAGCATGAGGCTCACAAAGTCCTTGGCCAAACCAAAACATCGCTTGTTATCAGCTCTGTTCCCGAGCTGAAAGTCAAAACACTGCACTACACCAGCTACCAAGAAGGGGAAAAACGACTTCTACTGCTGAACCCAGGACATTATCCACCCCTTATTCCATACCATTCACGTCATGCTCAGATCCCACATTTTCAATATACCATCACTCTTATCTCAGTGCACTCTATTTTTATTATTTTCCTATTTGTATATCTTATTTATTAAACATAACAGAATGCAGATCATCAGGTGGCAAGAAAAGGACTGTGACCTTGAGAAAGGCGCCCAGGACAGCATGGTTCCATGTTACAATTTCTATTGAGGTAAAGCCATATTAATAGAACCCTCTCTATCTCAGTCCCCAATATTTGACAGAATACTCTGTTTATCACATTCCTCTGTTGTTCTGATGACTTTCTTTTTCCAGCAGGTGTATACTGTAAAGCAGGCTTAGCAAAGAGATTTTGATTTAAAATACACTCCTTACTCCCCCAGTTTAAAGATTTAGATCTTTGAGCCAAGCAACAGGACATGGTCATTTTACAGTGTGTTACACTTGAAGCCTGAAATATCAACTATGTGAATATTGGAAGCTTCAGTCAACAACATATAACATAATGTATTCCTTGATTACTCATAGAATCATAGAATAGAATCATACAATCATAGAACTACTCTTTTCCATTCACTTATCATCTTTATATTATGATGAATAAAATTGTCAAACCTAGCCTCTGCTGTAATTTTATTAGTATCAAACTAAGCATTCACTTAGATTAGGGTGAGGATATTTAATTATTGAAATGTTATTGCTCATGAGTAAAATGAGAACAAGCTATGCAAAACCAGTGTGCTAACTGATTACAGTAAGGCACCCCAAGTGGTGAAAAACATTGTGTAGAGGAGGATAATTCCCTAGAGAAGTGTACTACAAGGTTAAATGCTTCCATGTGAGACTGTTTGAACTGGATTTGTAGAATGAGATAGTTCACAAGCTACAGTGATAGGAGACTCAGTATCACCTACCCAATTTATCAAGATGTTTTTAATAATCAAAGTCTTCATTCTAAGTGCCACTAAATGCAATGCGCTATTTCCTTATCACAGTATTGGATCACAAACTGCAATCACATCCAGGTGGAGCTTGTATCTTCCCTAACTTAGTATAACACACTGTGAAATCAATAAGACTACTACTGTTGACCTTAACAGGAGTCAGACTAGAGTAAAAAAAAAAAAGAGATGGAAAAAGTATTGATTAAACAACCCTTTTTCCCAGCTGAACTGCTATACTACAAAAAGTACCGCAGTAGAAGGGGTTTCTTAGTCTGAGCAATTTCTCTAATTTCAGTTAAACAGAAAAAAAAAAGTGCTTCTTTTTGCTTTTGATTTGCAAGTCCCAAAACACAAACAATAACCTGATACAAGATAGTCCTAAACCACATGCTTAAATTCCTCCTTGTTCAGGAAACCATTCAAGCAGAGCTCAGGCATATTGTTATTTCTGAATCAAAGATCTGAATCTGTTCTGCTTCCTGAAACATGATCATTAATGCCCAGCACAAGCTTTTGTAATTAACCGCAGCTCATTATATTATATCTTTTTAAAAAAAAACATATATCATCCAGGCTACCATTCTTCTTCTTGTGGTTTAAACCACGACACCTATCTATGTGGTTCTTGCCATCTGCTGGCAAGTATTTAATGTTGTCAAGTTACAATGCACAAATTACTTGAAGTAAATGAAAAATAATTAAGAAAAATGTTAAAAGCTTTATCAGTAACAAGCCTATATTATATGCAAATATTGGGTATTAAAAACATTGAGAAATTGTAATTGATCAATATTAACATTAAAGCACTTCTTAAATACAAACTGAACATAGTACGTATTCTATATTACCAAAGGAATCATTATAATATAGCATTTAAGGCAGTAGAAGAAATTCTGCAGGTGACAAACCAGTAGTAAATTGATGAAATGAAGTCATAGAATCATAGAATCATAGAATAGTTAGGGTTGGAAAGGACCTTAAGATCATCTAGTTCCAAACCCCCTGCCATGGGCAGGGACACCTCACACTAAACCATATCACCCAAGGCCTCGTCCAACCTGGTCTTGAACACTGCCAGGGATGGAGCATTCACAACCTCCCTGGGCAACCCATTCCAGTGCCTCACCACCCTAACAGGAAAGAATCCTATATCCAATCTAAACTTCCCCTGTTTAAGTTTGAACCCGTCAATCACTACAGTCTCTAATGAAGAGTCTGCATCCCTATGGGCAAGGCTGACTCCACACAGCCTTCTCTTCTCCACAGCTAGCCTGTCTTCATACCATATCAATTCCCAAGGATCATACAAAAGAGATGTCCTTGCTGGGGCTGCCTTTTTATGTAATATAGATAGAATCATAGAATAGTTAGGGTTGGAAAGGACCTTAAGATCATCAAGTTCCAACCCCCCTGCCATGGGCAGGGACACCTCTCACTAAACCATATCACCCAAGGCTTCGTCCAATCTGGTCTTGAACACTGCAATGTTGAATGATTTCAGTTCATATGGAAATAGAAAACTTTACAAAATTTTAATCCAAAATGCCAAAAAATATCTGGACCTTGAGCTGTACTAACCTTCACGTTTAAGTGCATGGATTTTAAGAATGGTTGCATATACAAAAAGGCTGTCTGTTCAGCAGCATTTTAAAAATAAAGGAACACCCTTGCTAGTATTTCACATTATTAGCATATAAGAGTAATTCACATACCTGGTTTTAGTGTTTTGATTGCCACGGGGGTGGTATTATTCCACAGTCCTTCCCATACCTCACCAAACTGGCCAGATCCTAATTTTTTCAAAAAATTCAGAGATTTTCGGTCTATCTCCCACTGATCAACAGTTTTATATGACAAATCAAAAGTAGTGGGAATTTGTACCTGGTAAAGGAAAGTAAATAATACAGTAATTGATACTTCTAATATTTTTTCAACAGCATATACAAGTCATTGTTAACTATGTCATGTAAAGTCATAACTGATATAAATAAAGTTTCCTTTATTTATCTCACTCACACATGTGATAAAGTGAGATGAGAACATAAAATACAGCCCACATCCTGAGTATTTTTTTGTGAGAAATAGGAAATACTACAAAGAAAATACCCTGCCATTAAAAGTAAAAATTAGAAATCATCCCTCTAGCAAGCTTTTTGAACAGTGGCGAATTGCTTGCCTGAACCTTGTGGTTTTATGTCTGTAATTACTTATGGACAACTAGAGTTATGATGTTGGAGATTTCATCCCCATATACACTTATAAAAAGGTATTCATAAATCATGATTTGGCATATTTTCTCCTACATTACGTGACAGTTTGTCCAAAACATCATAGTGTTTTATTATTAACATGTCAGCTTCAAGAATGAAAGAGTAGGGCTACCCAGAACTTTCTGAAAATAAGCAGATCATCAACATTTTGAACTGGTAGAAGCAGATATGGGGTTAACACCTTCTGCCTGATCTCTGATGAGTTAGCTTGCAAAAAATGCATTGCACAGTGCAGCATCCACTCTTACCTTTGGGCATGGCTTTCCAAGCACGACGCAGAGGCCATCACTGTTCTTACTATAATAGTCAACAAACTCATTCAGAGTTTTGAAAGTTTTCCTTCTGCTTAGGAAAAAGCCTCCTTCATCCAGCTTTCTGATCCTGTAGTGCTTTACAGACACACCATCAAAAACTAAGAAAATTTAAACATATTAAGTTTCCAAGAATTATAGCAGTGGTACAATATAGCCTATGGCCAAAGTGTCATAAAGTTCCTAAATATATTTATGAGGACCTTCAAATAATTTATTTTAGTTTCAAAGATGACAGCTAGAAAAATATTCTTCAAACTAAAGTTCACAGTTAGATACTTTAACATACCTAGCCTATAAGCCTTCAGCTGTTCCGGTTTGGAGATTCTTGCTTGCAACATAAGAATTTACACAAAAATACATAAATACATCTTCTGTGAGGCAGCTCATATTTTCCATCATTTAGGACAGCAAAACCATCCAGAGGCATCTAATTCACAGTAACCATTTAATCAGTTTTTAATATTTCATTTGTCAGTGTTAACATTCTAAATAGCAGCTGATGGGCTGACAGGCATTTTACAGCAAACAGATATAACCTCCCCATGGCCATGATTCTCTGAAAAGTACTCACATCTTCCACTGGTTTTACTGCATTTTGTGCATGGTTGGAATAGGTAAAAATCAGGGCAATAATGCTCTGTTTCAAGTAGCTGGTGACTTTCTTTCCCTTGAAATATGTTTTATTCTAATCTGTTTTTTCCTAATCAAAAATACTTTGTTCTCCTCACCCTCTGCAGGTTATTTGCACACATTTCATGACACCCAAAGTGTCCTCCCCTGTGACTGTGTGAGCATTCTTTAGATGTGTCAGAAAGAAGGCTGGACCACTGCATGCTTGGTGTAGACCTGGACCAGCAAAGACCAGAGACAGATAAACAAAAAAATGGACTGTCATTCATCTAGTGCATTATTTAAGGAATACTAAGCTTGTAATGGCCATTTCTGATGTCTCCATCATATATGACTTTAAGTAACAGTGTTGAAAGCAGACTGCATGCAGCCCAGGGAGTACTCAAGACAATCCATTGGGGTGGGGAAAAAAGTATTTTTGTACCATTAATAAATAAGATAAATACTTTAAAATGCTTTTTATTATTTCATCTTTCTCATCCTTTTTGTGTGTGTGTGTATGTTCTATAATGTACATAATCTATCAGTACAGTAGCACATGTATATAACTTAAAAATAAATAAATGAACATACAATGAGGGTTAAGACCAAAAGTCTTTTTATTGACAAGGGTGCACAATCAAAAAAGTTTGGAGACCACTAGCTTAAAGATCTCCTTTATTAAAAGAATATCAGTAGTAGCAGTGGTGGCTGAGCATCAACAGAGAGGGCAGTTCTGAAGAGCTGGAAGGGGAGTTTATTGCTGATGCATAACACTCCATGACTGAGACATCACTGTCCATTTCCAATGGGCAATGAAGATTTTATGCTACATACTGAAGGGTAAGGGATTTAGATACTACTAATGTCATGTCTGTTAACTCTAATATTAATAGTGAACAATGAACAATGATAAGTAGTGTGATAAATTTTCTGCATCTCAAACAGAAGATACATGCATCAGGAGAAAGAGGGTTTTGGATCCTAGGAATTGCAGGTGGAAAAATGCTTAGAGCTCAAGGAATGGTAGCAAGCTGTAATGAGATTAAGTGAGATGAGTATTTGAAGGTGTGGAGGGGTACTTCTGTCACCTGTTAGAGCTGGTGTGGAAGCAAGGTGAAGGGAAACAGCCTGCTTAATCAGGTTGGGGACCAGTGAGACTGAGAATCAACCAAAAAAGGCAAATGGGAATCATCTAGTGAGCTTGGGGAATAGGTCAGAAGGAGAAACACTGGAGTAGGACTAAATGTGAAGCACCTAATTTTGGTAAAAGACAAGTAGCAATAGGTTAAAAAAGGGGAGAAAAATCAGAGTGGTCTCCCAGCCTGCATTTAAAACAATAAGATGGATGCAGAAAGAGCTCTCAAAGGAAGGAGGTTGCCTCAGTTGCCATCCTGGTTCTCATCACCAAACATTACACCTTTGCAATAGACCAGGTGGGTTCTTCCACATCCTTCAGTTTGGGAGATTACCATTGTCTGGTTCTCAAGCCCCTTACACAAGACAGAAGTCTGAAAAGCGAAAGGGAGGCATAGGGAAAAGGCCTTCTGCTGTTTACCTGCAGTATGTATTTCAGTAGCCAAAATTCCAGCAAACATATTCAATTTGGTAATGTTGACCAGGGGGGTCTCTTAGTTAAATAATTTAATAGAAAATTAAAATATTTTTCAATTATAAAAGCAGCCTCAGCATGGTACATTTGAAATGATAATTATAAAAAAGCCCAATATTGTTATTGTTCTCCTCTGGACATATTACAGCTGGTAGATCTTTGATACAGGCAACACTCCATGAAGTTTGGCAATCACTTTTGTTATAGTAACAGACACAGCAGACAGCTATATATCATATGTAGAAAAAAATCGAGAAAAGTATTGGTTACATGCAATTAACAAAGGTGATATAAGTTATAATTTGTCTTTTAACTGATTAAGTTACAAAGGAAAAACTCTCCTTCCTTAAGTACTATCATGTCAGATCAAATATTTTTCCTAGTGTACTGTGCGATTGTCATCCCAGACCACCAGAGGGCATAAAGGAGCTGTTGAAAATACTAGGGGATTTTATATCTGCCATAGGTAATATTTTTAGAGACCCGAGAACTTGCAATTTTGCATGAGAACCAGAAATTAGAATGTTTGTTAATATAACTCCAGAGGATAAGTACATCGCACCTTTCAAATTCCATTTCTTTTTAATTTAACATCCATAATTAATATATTTTAATTATAAAATGCATGTATATTTTTGTGATGTATCATTTAGAAATGGGGCTGAAGCAAAATGAAGGAAAGGGTAATTCAGTAACAACAGGCTGAAAATGTAATGACTTTTCCAAAGTTCACAGGAAATGCATCTGACCAAATGAATTGCTATTTATGATACATTGAATAAAAGGCCAGAAGGATGACTGTTAATCCAGTCTCAGTTGTATATCACTACCAACAGTAGTTTGACTACCTACTTAATTTATTAGCAGCATTATAATCATTATTTGTGAAGCAGTTAATGTTAATGCAAGAGCTGATTTGAAGGAAGTGCTTTAATTTCTTAAATGAGTCTTGCTTAAAGTCTTAAAACTGGCAGTCTCCAGGTGTGGCAGTGATGTGTGTAGAGAAGCTGGAGGGAATTTCTGCACTGATGCTATTTCTTCTTGTGATAAGCAGCTGAGATTACTGCTATATTTATTATGGGGTTGTTTACTTCTATTTCAGGGCTGATTCTAGCTGTACAAATCCTGCACTGCCCACTTGCAGCACTGTATCATGGTGTGCCTCCTGTGACCAACACAAAACAGAGTACGTGTCACTCAGGGAAGTGCCTTCAGTCTTCCCTACATATGTGCCAAACTGCTAAATAGGACAGGGTCACAACTTCAGATTCACACAACTGGAGAGCATCTGGGTTTGAAGCCTGAAGTGGTTTCTCCTCAACTTGTCCTTCCCAAAAGAATCACAGTTCCCCATTAGATTTCTTCATGGTTTCAGTCTAACAGAAACATTCTCCTCTCCCTGCTTCCCATCTTCATAAGGCTGGGCCATGAAGAAGTAGGTTTTGGCACCCCAAGAATGAGAATAAATAATTTACTACTCCCTCCCCAGGGCAGCAAAATTTATAGCGGCATCAGCAGCATTCACATCTTCACCAGATCTATCCAGGGGACACCGAGACACCATTACCACCAGCGTTCCACCACTTATCCTGTCAGCAGTCCTCTGCTGCACTAGCAGTGCAGCACTGCCAACAGGAGCTGTGCTTGTTCTCCATGCCAAGTGGATGTGGGAGGAGGGTGGCTTCAGAGATCACTCTCACCAGCACAGAACCCGTGCAGGGGCTGATCCAAAATCGCTCTCCTGCTATGGCCATGATTTTACCACTCCTACCAGTCTGCTTCCTTAAACAACAACCTACTCTTCCCTGTGCTGAAACTCAGTCTGGCCTAGAGAAAAACACACAATCTTTTTAAAGAGCATGGGGAAAAAAAAAAATGGAAGAAAACATAAAACATTTACATTGTCATTTAATGCAATCGGTCTTTCAGATAGCATTATTCAGTGAGGGGGGAAGTAGAGAGCCTCCTGCTATCATTGGCAATGACACTCAATTAAGCTGAGCACATCTAAATTATGGCTTTTAATTAAAAAGAGGCAAGGTCTAAGATGGCACCAACATGTTTAAAATTTAATACATTTCACACCAGATGCTGGAGTCATCAACATAAAAATCTGTCGACAACATGTGCATTTTTAAAATGGGAAAACCTATTTTTAAAATGTCAAACACTTTAAAATTATAGCAACACATCTCAGTGTCCTATCATCTGGTTTGATGAGCTTCCCATTTAACCATTTACAGATGAGGAAAACCTCTTTGAACATGACTTTTTGGTTTTAATTTAAATAGTCGTTTATCATGTAAATCTTAAAAACTGTGAGTTTTCCCATCAAGTCAAGTTAGAAGTGAAAAATGTCATTTTAATGAAAGGTAGTGTTTATTTATTTTTTTAATTTTTTTTTCCCCCTAAGGAGATCCATTTGTTTCTTTCATTAACATTAAGTTTCTAGTACATTGCACATATTAGTATGAAATCCAGCTTGAAAATCGTAAAATCAGTTTATGGGTGCTTGGGTAAAAAAATCTCTCTTCCTTTTCAACTTCTTTTCATTCTTATGTTTATTATACCTAAATGTTAGGCTGGACAGAGAACTGTGATATATCCTTAAAGACCTTAATTCTGAAAGCCCGGTTGTCACTCTTCTAGCCATTATCATCTACTGTGGAATTAAACCAAAACAGCAGTAGAAGGTAAAGCAAATGCAACCAGTCCTACAGAGGATGGGAATTTTGGGATCTACTCTTTCTGCACTGAAAAAATTGGAAAGATAAATAAGGGACACAAAATTTCCAAAACATCAGGGTTTGACTTCTACCCTGCTGGTGTATCAGCTGTGATGGAGATAGAAGCCATCCAAAAGCTTTGAAAAGAAACAGTTCTGAACCAACATTCCTCAAGAAAACACTGTTTTTCTGCCTCAGCTTTGAGTGTCTCATAACTCCTTCTGGTGGAACAAAGAGGAGAAAGTCACAAAACTGCCTTCTCCATAGCATCTGGTGGACTAAACAATCTTTCTTCCAATTAGTACTCCCCACAGTACAATGCACTTCATCATTTGCTTTCGAATGAACTAGCTCTCACAAAAATAAACGTAAGTAATGAGATTATGGACATACAATGTCCAGACAATTATGTATACTGTTAGGTTGGAAGCAAAAAACCTTGCACAACACAAACAGATGCCATTCACTCAAGCTTATTCAGTGAGCAGCAAATAATATTTAGCTCATCAAGATGAAGTAGCATGTTGAGGCTAAATTACGTTCAAGTCTGGAAAGCTGCTAAAAGATCTAGCAGCACTGGTAAATCATGTAATTAATACTCCCTGTCTACAGACTGCTTCAGAGTTTATTCTCTTTCTCTGCCTAAAAGCACAGATGTTTCATAAATCTGAGATGACACATATATATATGCATACGTGCTCAGAGGACAGGCCATGTTTGTGTATGAAGGAGGGCTGGCTTCTGGAGCTGGAGCCTTGCCCCCACATATATTAGGCTCTTCAGCACCACTCTTCCCTTCATTCATCAAACAAACCAGCATGCAAGAAATCCCCATTGACAGTTTGATATCTTGCTGTTTTCAGCAATTATCAAATCTCCTGTTCCTGGATAAGCTTACAAGAATCTTGAAAAATGTCTACCACAAGCTTTTATAATTGAATCAAATATACTGAAGCAGATAGACTATAGTTTCTATCCACAATTGGCAAGGAAAAAAATTAAACAGCAGCATCAAAGGGCAATCTCATTCTACCACAAAAGCTGGCCTAATATTTATTTTCATTCTCATAGATTTTTCTCAGCAGTACCTCATAGTTTACATAAAGTACTTCTGCCTTCCTGTTACAGAATTAGTCAGGATGCAGGGTAAAGAATTAAGATTTTGTATCTTTTTTTTAGAAGGCTACAGTCAGAGAATAATAAAAAGAATAAATCTCAGCATTAAGCAGATAATACAGGCCTATCTATCCTTCCCTGCTAGCCCAGTCCTTGAATGAAATCCTTGGAAGAGCACTTGAAGCTGAAGCCATGTAAGGCAGGGGTAAGTTGGCATATAGAGGAAAAGCATTTTGAAAGGTCTGCAGCTATAATACAGTCTTTGGGTAAAAGTGCGCACCACAGGGGTCAGTTCTGTCACAGTTCAGGAGCAGTCGGATTCCTTGTCGATGTTAACTCTCTTATAAGTGCTTCTTGGCAAGAACAAACTTCTTGGAGAGCAAGCTGAAGATTATGCAATGAATTCTCCCAGAACTGTAAATATCACATTTATTCCATAAACTTCCCTGTATTTCACTCCACAGGCAACATACATTTCTTTGTCTTGACAATAAAAACTAACCCTTCCATTACCACAGACATTAGGGGTATATACCATTTTCTTATGATTTGCAAAAGAAACCAAGAATGTGTCAAAAGGAGTCATTAAGCTGCTTAATGTGATTCTGTAACAGTCAGGTGTCTCACATGTAAACATCCAGGCAGAAAAGGAGTCAATACAAAAGAATCTGGTTATGCACAAGATGCCTCTCATTTTACTGACATAATTCTATATGACAACTTACTGTTTATTCACAAACATCTAGATGTCAAGATATCTACTGATGTCAAGAATGGTGTAAGTAAAGCACATTAGGAAGTTTGGGCATATAGCTCTGCTATCTCAGGGGTAACATAATTATCTTTACTCATACCTGTATGACATGTTTGATAGAAAAAGTTCATGGGGAAAAAAAAAAAACAGGAAACAATCACAGTTATTATCTAAAAAGACAAATATCTATAACATGAAAAAGACGACGTCATCTTTTTGTGAATAAGTACAATTATATCAAATAAGTGCCCTTATTTGATAGTCTTTTGGATTCAAAGAAAGGACTTACAAATTTCAATATCCATCATTATCATGTCTAACTTTCTACTGATGTTTACAAGTAGCTTTTCAATGAAATATGTTATTCTTAAGTACAGCTTTGAAGATCTTCCTATCATTTTTCCCCTGAAAACAAATAAATATAAACCTAAGGGCATGCTCTAGCAGAAATCTCATTTTCTTTAACTGCAGATATCTGCCAACATGGTTAATTTTTATTTTGTGTACTAATCAGAACAGCAGCGTACAACTGTAATGTACTTTTTGGCATTTTAATCATGAAAATAGTTTCTATTTTAAGGCAGTGGCACACTAGAAGCACTAAGCATGAGAAAGTTAATTTCTGTTCTGAGCATATTAATAAAAAAAGCCTATAAAAATGTTAGCAAAAACTCAAATTACTCTTGCCAAGTTTTCTGCATAAGCCTCCTGGGAAAGAAATATTATTATGAACTTAATTTCATTTTCACGCCCAGAGTTCATCATTCTCAAAAATGAAAAAGTCCAGATCACCTGGGAAACTTTTAAACATTGCTTATGAGGAAAAACTAGAATATACCTGAAAGTGAGTATTCGCCTTTTAGACTTTCGCTTTCTCGGATTAGGAAGGCTCCTGCCTGGTTTCCAGGACTTGACAGCTGTCTCTCGGCATCTGCTCTTTTGATTGGGCCAAAAAACCATCTGAACAGATAAAAACCATTAATTTTACCAGTCAGTGAAACATACCAGGAAAAGAAAAAAAAAAAGCTTTTATAAACATGCTGCATATTGACTAGAAGATAATCTGTGCTATGCTAATTAAATTTCAGTAGCATGGGAGAAAAAAGCCAACAAGAATTACACAACAAATTTAAAGCTTGAAAACATTTGTTACACATTTGAGTGAAATCTGGATTTTACTGCTGATGGAAAGCCCTACTGATTTCAAGGGAACAAGAAGTGATGAACTGGTCTTGTCCCAGGAAAAATTCACCAAGAAATTATGCCAAAGTTACTGTGGCAGAAATTGGTGCTAAATCCATTGATGCCATCTGAGCTATGTAGAGGTGCAGGTATATGCTAACATCCCAATATCTTAAAAGTCAAAAATGCCCTAAAGCTGCAGAAGGGCTCTCAGGCTCCAAGATATAAACCACCCTGCAGTCTTCCCCATTCCACTGCCAAGTCAATACGTCAAATGAGTTACTGGCAATTTTTCAGCTCTGCTGCTGTTAGACAAACAAAACCCGTATGTCCCTAAAATCACGGTAAACATCTCGACATCCATGTTCTGTGAAAATCTATTCCTATCTATACCTTTTAAAACATACTTTTCCTCTTTCACAAAGCCTTATAGTTCACAAGGACTCATTTAAGTAGGACCTTTCGTTTGCTCCTTTCAAGGTACTATTTAGCATTTTTGCTGCTTTGTGCTGAGTGTAAATTAAACAGAAATAAGACTGAGATGAGTCAGCATTTTCAACTGGGGTAGCACTCAGCTTCCATCCAACAAAGCTCTTTCCAAGATTATCTCTACCCCTTATTTGAAGCAAATGATGATAAATTGTGATCAGAAATGTGCCATATACTCACAGGACAACCCCTTTTAAATTAATCACAGCTAAATCTATTACGCAGACTTTTAAGATAAATCAATGTATCACACCACATGTAAGTTGCCTATTCAATTAACTACTTGATTTGTCAATTACTAGTGGAAAGTATGAAAGGAGTCATCAACTAAAACTACTTCAGTATCTGCAAGGCTTGTAATCATCAAGTGGAATGGAGGAAATAAATGACAATATTGAGTGACACCTTGGCTGAGCAAGCATGAGGAATGAAAAATGGGTTTGTATGAATAAAGAGGAAATACAAAGAGGCAAATACAGACGGCGCCAGCCTACACTGAATATGCTGTGTTAACAAAAGAAAATGAAACCCAGATATTCCAGACTGCATTCCTGTCCTCTGACTTGAAGATGATTTGGATAAAATGGGCCCTTGTATGTATTTGGCAAGGAGAGGAATCTCATTAGAAAGCCAGAATGTGTTAGTAATAATTTTAATTAGTTAAATATGTTCATTATTTCAACTAATAAATTAAATTAATTCATTAATTAGACTGAAGAAAACTAAGCAATCAACGTTCAAATTCTTAACTGAGGTTCTGGTCAAAGGAATGAGAGGACAGAGTACAAGTTCAACACTATACAAGTCCCAGAGAAAATTTACCTGCCCTAACCACTGAATTAGAATCTTTCTGAAAAATCTAAATGCACCTGCTCTGAGAACACCTGAAAATTAACAAACTACATGATCTGAAAAAAAATTGAATGGATGTATTTCTCCTTGAACTAGAAGATCTAACTTAGCAATATCCAAAGTGACTGATTCTCATAAGAGTGTATAAGAAGAGGTGTTTAATTTTATGTCTCCTTTCTTCACAGGTTAAGAGGATAGAACGCTTTCAAAAGGATTTCATTTTGTACCAAAGCCAAAAAAGCTTCCAAAGCATTGTTAGCAAGGTTGAATTTTATGTTCAGGATAGTCAAAAGTATAGTCTTTACATGGCCCAGTACTTGTATATACACTGATAGTGTAGTAACTCAAGTCACCAAAGCTGAAAACATGAGCAGTAATACAATGTAGGCAACATGAGGAAACTGTTGGTTTATTTGGGAAAAAATAGTATCACACCTGGGTGTGTAAAGCCTTGTCTACAGTATAGACTACGATTTTGGAAAAAAAGACATAAGTACTTATTATATTTAGGCATATGTATCTGTTCCTTTGACTTCAAAATATTTCAAATTATATGTTTATGTTTATTAGTTTGGGAAAACTTTATTTACATTAATATGAATTCACTATTAAAGATGATATGGAGGATATGTAATATGTTGCTTCTGACTCCAGGTAATCTTAGCAGTTAAAAGATTCTGGCTTGCAAAAGAAGATAATTAGAGCAACAGTATTTGAGAAGGTAAGTGTACCTGAAGCAATTACTATGGAGAGTGAAAAGTGGATGCATATTGTGTATTACCTCATTTGCCTGACTTTATATGATCTGATTAAAATGTTTCAGAAAAATACAAGGAAAATTAATAGCTAGCACTTGAATATGGGATTCTTAGTTCAAAGTCATTGGGTTTGCAATAGAAATCATACAGTACCAAGAGCAATAACAGTTGTGAAAAATAACCCCTTAACCTCAAAGCAAATAATTTAATTTGATTTAACTTTTTTAACAGAACCACATCTGAATTTAAAATACTATTTTCATTATAAATGGAAGTTTAAATTCCTTTTATAAAACATGAAGGGCTTATTTCAATTTCTAGTGATTGAACTTAAGCTTCAAAAGGTTTAATATTTTACTTCATCCAAAAGTGTGTTGCTTAGAGGGGAAAGTACTCCAAAGAGTAATAATGAATCAAAGTAATTGTTCACCATGAGATACCGTTCTGTGAGATACAAAGGTCAGACCAAAACAACACCCAATCCTTGGCAAATCTGTTTGTGTCTTATAGCTCAAAGACACATGAAGGTTTTGAAACACAATGCTTGGCAAAGCAGAACTAAAACTTCAAGCACGATGCATTGCACAAATTATTTAACCAGCTCTTTCTCTGACTTTAGTGTGCTATATTGGTACTAGACAGCTCAGGAGAAGGTTGAGTTAGCAGTTCACCCAGTTTCACTCTGAACCTCAGCTTGCAACCAGATCACTCTGGGTCACAATTGTCAATGCAGGATCAGCAGATTACCAGGTATGCCACAAAAGAGGACATTCAGACTTGGGTATAAATCTCCGTTTCTAGCAGAAGCTGTCTGATTAGCACAGTAATGGTGCTCTTCTGTCAATGGGATCAAGGAACATTGCTTTCTTGGCCAGCACTGCATCCAATGTCTCAGCTCCCTTTTCAGGGTAGGATGCCAGATATGCTTTTGGGGACTGTTTCAGCAGCTTCCTCAAAATCCCTGGTTTCCAAACTATTCATTGGTCTCAGGAATCCCTTCAGTAAAAATTCCAGCCTACCTCTAGGTCAGTTCTGGTCACCATATATGGGAGGACTTTGAGGACAGAAAAGACTGTCTTCATGTAGGTGCATAACACAATCTTTACTTGGTACAGATGATGCCTCTGCTTTGTCTTCCGCTGCTTTGTTATATAAAAATCTGCTACAATATAAAAAAAAAAAAAAAAGGTACTTCTGTTTCTGCACCTTTTTTCTTATAGTGGAAAGAAATGGCAGAAAAGTAGAAGAGAGGAAGAGTAACACAGGCCACGGGTTATCATATGCCACATAGCCACTGACAGAATCACTAAGCAAAGGGAGGCAAAGGGATGCAATACTATACCACTGGAAAAGTTTCCAGTGTCTGGCAACATGCCTAGAAGAAGATGAAAACCCAGTGGAAAAAGAAAAAAAAACACAAATAACCCCATCCAAAAAAGAGTCTGCAAAATTAGTTTGATTCCTTGTGTTCCCTCCCACTAATGCAATATCCCCTTCTGATTGTATCAGTGCAATGCACTCATTCAAGGCAGACACTGATGATTTAACAGAAGATCTCAACTAATCTGGGAACTACAGGCTCTTTTTCTCTCCTGAAAGTAATTCTGTCCAGCACTCAAAGTTAAACCCAAACAAAAGGATTCCCAGCCGTAGTCCAGAAGAAAGAACTTTTGGGGAAGCACTGGGTTTTGGGGAATTTTTTTGCAGCATACCAAGGAAGTAATGGAAACATGGTCCCTGAAGTGTTAAAAAACTTTGTAGATGAGGGCCTCAGTGATTCGGTTTAGTGTTGGTGTTGGCACTCCTGGGATAATGGTTGGACTTGATGGTCTTAAAGGCTTTTTACAACCTAGTTGATTCTATGATTGTTTGGACAGCCCTTTTACAGCTTCCCCTCTACCCATTACACTGGACCTCTGTGCTTGGTCTCTCCTAAATCCCTAACACTCTAACTCCCGACTATAATGCAAGGTGCTTGCTGAGCTTTAGCCAAAGCTCACCAGTCATTGTCCAGACAAAACACTTCTTGGGAGACAAGCCTTTTCTGGGGCAGACCCTTCCAGCTTTATTCAAACTGAAGCTCTAGCATTTGTCACCCTCCTAATCCTAAATCCATGCCCTAACATTAATACTAGACCTGGTTTCAGCCTTAGCCTGCAAGCTGCTTTTTGCAGCTTTGATCTTCCTTGGGCAGCCCCTCAGCAGCCATAAGTCAAACTGGAACACCAGTATTCATCTCTTTCCTAATCCTAACTCTAAGCATGGGCTGAACCTTCATGGGCAGGGGGGGTGGAACTAGATGATCTTTAAGGTCCCTTCCAACCTAAACCATTCTATGATTCTATGAAACAGGTTATCTGGCCCTCCAGAAGGTTAACAGGAGTGTGTTAACTGTGCCTGCTGTACTAGGCTATGAGAAGAAGAAAAGGTTTCCTTGACTGAGAAGAACAAAACATTACTACAATTCGAGCAATAGTCATGGATGAGGACAATGAAAAATAGGTACTATTATATACTACTATAATGAAACCAAATATATGCCAGTTTCTTCTGGAATGAGAAAGCTTGTGTAATAGCTAAAACAGATAAAGAAAAGCTTCATCAGTATATAAGGTTTATATTTTAAATGCCTCAAAATCAAAAGTCATAGAAAGCTGTAACTGCAAAGTCAAGAAGTCC